GAGGCACGATCGGACGAAAGAAGTTGTAAACATTCCTGTACAGCTTCTTGCAAAGGATTTTGTGCCTAACACACGCCCAGCCGTGCATGGGTGTCAGAAATGAGGCGTTCAAAAGGTCTTGCAATTCACTATCGAAGTTCCAAAGCCATCAATTAGTCCGATGTTTCTTCGTAAGTGTAGAGAGAGCTAAGGGTCTATCGGACCCAGGTAATGGCTCTGATTCTAGCTCACCTTCGGTGAGACTTGTAGAAGTTATTTGGCCCGGCCTTTCGCGCCAATTGAGATCTGAGCCCTGCCGGGCGACCATGTGCCGGCCAAGCACGGGGGGCGAACAAACGAACCCGTTCGGCGCGGCTAATATGTCCTGTTTGCGTCGTGCCGTTGCCCGTGGCGAGTGCTCACATTTATGACGGGACCATCTGTCACTGGCCGCGTTTAATCGTCCAATTTATCCTGCTGCCTCAGAGGTTCTCCATTACGGCGGCGGATGTGTCAGCTTTTTGGCCGGATCCACTCTCGTCCGTCGCTGGATCTTTCCGCGATTAGATTGCCGTTGTGAGAGAGCACGTTTCTTTGGATGGACTCTTGATGGAGTTGTGTTAGATCTGCCCGAGGCACGGGAAGCCTCGCGGCCGGCTCCCCGTCTGCGCCGCTCCGTCACGCTGGCCACGTCCGTGACCCTGACTGTCGGCGAGCCGGGACCGTGCGCCGGCCAGCACCTGCACGGCCAACGGCTCCCAGGAGTCTGACCCCTCCGTCGAGGCGGTGTCACTCGGCCGTCGCTGCTTTCGCGTTGGGCTGAGCTGACCGCGGTGGCCGCTGGGCCACAGCTCTCAGGCCAGCCTCTCGGCGCCCAACTGCTGACGAAGCTGTCAGCTGCCAGCTCTGGCGAACCAGAGGCATACACGTGGCCCGTGCTGGGGCTTCGGCGCACGGTACAGACTGGGCAGCACTCACCGTCAGACGTTAGTGGCGGGCTGTGCAGAACCAGTATAGCCGTCCGGGATTTGGGTGTCTCCTTTTCTTAAGCGGACCGGCATCATAGTTTGGCCGTTCGTATTGGTCAATCCTGCCTGCGTTTGCAAAATATTGACCTCATTTGGAATCGAGACTGGCTTATCGCTGTCGAAGCGTATGCTGGCAGCGGTCGGTTCGATGCGCGGTCGGCGAAAGGGGACCGTCGTCGGCACACCAACCCTCCAGACGCGTGGAGGTGTTGACCCGCTCCATGTTCGGCGCCCCACTTCTCGGACGCCGGCGGGGTGATCCCCATGCACTTCTCGGCTGCCGTTGTCCCTTGCGTGGCGCGCTAAGCCAGCCGGCCCAGTGCGCACACTCCCCCCGAGGGACCACTGAGTGCCGCACCAACTCCAGGCGAGCGCGCGGCGGCCCGTGCCGCCGGCGAAAACAGCGCCAGAATCTCGTTACCCCGCCGAACTTCGCGCTGGGTAAACAGCGTGCCAACTTGGCACCCTCCGGGAGCTTCGCCGCCGGAAGCGGCCGGCTGGCTAAGCCGCGCCGCTGACGGCTGAGGGTGCGCCGCTCCGGGACCGGGTGACGGGGGCCCGGCTGAGTCCCGGCTTGGGGTGCGCCGCTCCGGTGACGGGTGACAGGGGCTCGGCTGAGCTCCGGCTGAGCTCCGGCTGAGGATGCGCCGCTCTGGGACTGGGTGACGGGGCCCGGCTGAGTCCCGGCTTGGGGTGCGCCGCTCCGGTGACGGGTGACAGGGGCTCGGCTGAGCTCCGGCTGAGCTCCCGGCTGAGGATGCGCCGCTCCGGGACCGGGTGACGGGGGCCCGGCTGAGTCCGGCTTGGGGCGCGCCGCTCCGGTGACGGATGACGGGGGCCCGGCTGAGCCCCGGATTGGGGCGCGCCGCTCCGGTGGACGGATGACGGGGGCCCGGCTGAGCCCTGGCTGAGGGCGCACCACTCCAGTGACGGGTGACGGGGGCCCGGCTGAGCCACGGCTAAGGGCGCGCCGCTCCGGTACGGGCGGCTCGCGTGAGCGGGTTTCGGCCCGTATCTATGGCTGTTGGCTGTCGCTGAAACACACCTGGCGCCGCGGACCGGCCGGTGGCGTGTCGCGTGCGGGCCGCTGAGCCCCTCCGGTCGGCTGTGGCGTCCGGTGGAGGTTGGGCCTGCTCCCGCTGACCTGGGCAGCCGCCGGTTGCCCCGCTAGCTGACCTTTGGAGGCGGGCTTCCCAAAGGTCGCGCGCACCGGATGCCCGCCGCTGTCGCTGGCCAGTTTTGTATTGAGCGCTCTGTCCTGTTTGGGCTTCCGGTGAGTTCCTGGTGCGAAGCGCGCTGTCGGAGCAGCTCGGACTGACTCAGAAAGGAATTCCCTGCCGGCCGTCGGATGCTAGAGTTCATGGACGGTAATGCATCTTGCGGCCCCACGGACGCCGGCGTCGGCGTCGGCGGCGTCCTGTTCGCGCTGTCAACGGATAGTGCCAAGACGCACATATCCGCGCTGCGTCGGAGACCGTGGATAAGCGGTAGTTTTAATGGGTCTTCCTGTACACAGATGGCGCAGAAGGTGGAGTGAATGCAAGTGCTGTTTAACATTTTTGAATTGCATTTAGCATTTTTAACATTTTTGAGTGAGTCAAACACTCGACTTCTAGTGGTTATGTTCCAGACTATTTGGAATCTGAGTGGTGGTTGCTCTCGCTACATGCCTTGACTCAGATACCGAAAGTTTAATGGTCGCAACACTGGCGTTTAAGGGGTATATTCTGCTACGGCGACGAGATGCTGCAGTGGGCGGCTGCTGACCGAATACAGGGGCTCCAGTCCCGTGCTTCTCCGTTTCCTCATTGTCTATTTGGAAGAATGTGTGGCCTTGTTCGTGATGTCCAAGATGTTCTATTGCAGCCGTAAATTTGGCAGCACGTGCTCCTGGTCGCCCCATTCCCCGTTGGATGTTTATCATCCCCTGAATCATCGTGGGCTGTGAGCAGGGATATTTTCGGCTTCGCTCTCTTTTGCGACTTTATCGCAACATTTTTAGTGTCGCCGCCTTCTTTGTGGAGCTCTGACAGGCTCCCTTGCTATTCTTTGTCAAGAACTCCTATAAAGTCCGGACCAGATGAAGTAGGTGATGGAAGCGTGTTGGTCTACGCCGTTGATAGCGCCCGATTTATGGGTCTCAGTTTCCCCGGTGGAAATGGCGTTCACCGCCGATGCAGAATAAGCCGATACACCCCCATTTGAATTTGTCGTGTTTTTGTGTCGGAGTGTTGAATCATCTTGTCACCTCGCAGAATTGGAAAGATTATCTTCCACTGCACCTTGTATCACCTGGTTAGTTGTCACTGAGCATTATTTGTAAGTTATTGACTGTGTCATTGTCTCGTGTCTCCAGCTGCCAGTGTCTCCGTGTCTCTAGCTGCCAGTGTCTCCGTGTCTCAGCTGCCAGTGTCTCCGTGTCTCCAGCTGCCAGTGTCTCCGTCATACTGATCTTGTCACAATTTTAATTCTAATCAATTTAGCTGCACGTGTTGCACTTTAAGTCAATGTTAGCACACCCCGTGACGAGGTGTAAACGCATCAGAATCAGCGACGAGTACCTGGAGCATTTCATGTATTTTGCTTGGCTATTTTGCCAAGTGCTTTGCGTTACCAAAGCGGCGGGATACCTGTCGTGCGGAATGCATTTTTGTATCTGTATCATTCATCTGGTGCTTGGGAACATCGACAACATCCTTTATCTGATGAAGACGGCTGTTGTATTTCGTGGTACGCTCAAGAAAGGTTTTGAGCCGCTTTTTGCAAGATGAGTACAGAGGTCTTATGCCGACAGTGGTGGATCTTCATTATACCAATGCTGGTTAAAAAATGTTGTCGAGTAAACTGATCATACTGAACTCTTGGTATGTCGAAGTCGATCGCCGTCAGCAGAAGAATTACATACTCATGATTTCGTTTTAGCTCCCGTATATCTTGCTATAGCTCTTGTATATTTGGATTTAAGCTCTTATTTTGCATCGACCTAACAATTCGCCATTGGTTTCTATCGCGTTCGTGATCATTCTGATCACGATGCCGAGCCTCGCGGTTTTAGAGGTCACCTGGCTGGGCCGTCAGCCTCTGTTATCGGTTTCAGCTGCTGCCTGATCGCTCTCCGCTGGTCGGATGAGTTCCGTCCGCTCTGCTTGGCTCGTTCTGTTTGCTCCCGTGTCCGGACGGCGTGTCGGACTGAGCATGTGTGTTCCTTGCTCACCGTTTGCGGGACCGCCGCCTCTGCCATCCCGCCCCCGCTGTCACCGGCCGGCTGTGACGCACGTGCCGCCACCGAACCGGACGTACCTGATGAAGCTGTCTCGTTCCGGCCTCAGTAGCCCATGACCTCACCAGGCTCCTGGGTCACCCCTACCGCGCGAGGGTCACCGCAGGTCACCCCGACGGCGCCGAGGTCACCCTGGGTTAGAACAAGACTTTGACATTCCCTTGTATAGCAACACTGCCCTGTGTCCTTCAACCATTGACGCTATACTCGAGGCATTATGCGTTCATAAGCATTGGTGCTGTATGGCGAGCGTTTTAAGGTGTGTGTTTTGCGGCTCCGGGACCCTTTGGTAACACTTCAGGCCCGTCGGCTGAAGGAGGTCGGCGCAGCACCTGGTGTGCGTCCCACGAGCGTGGGAAAGCCGCGCACGTCACGTAAAGTCGCTCAAGTGATTTGCCGCTAGACTTGCGCCGTTGCGGACGTCACGGTTGGCGCCGGGCAGCCGTCCCGGCGCCGTCTGACAGCTGTCCGGCGCCGTCCTGACAGCCGTCCGGCGCCAGTCTGACAGCCACCGCGCGCCCCCGCCCGCAGCCCAGATGGCCCTGCAGGCGGCCGCGGCCCTGCTGAGTCGGCGCGGCCTGCTGCGGCTCAACTCGGCCGGCGAGCAGGCTCCCGAGACCGGCGCGGAGCCGGTGCTGGAGCCAGAGCCGGAGCCGGAGTCGGAGGCCGGAGCCGGAGCCGGAGCCGACGCCGGAGCCGACGCCGACAGAGGCATGGGAGCCGCCGGTTCAACCGCTGCGCCGCTACTGGAGGTCCTGCTGCGCCGCAAGGAGGCGCCACTTATGTTGGCCGCTGCCGGTGGGCAGCCGGACCCGGCCACTGCCGGCTTCGGTGAGTGCAGCGACGGCTGAGCGACGGACGGCGCGGCGAGGCCGGGCGAGGCCGCTGGCTGCCGGCGCCGTCTCGGCTGGGAGAGCGGCGCCCGGCGGTGGGGCCTGCTGACCTCGGTGCCCTCGGAAATGGACTCCCCGTCCCGCTACCGGCGCCGTAAGTTAGACATGACCTCTGCTGCTGCTGGATCCAGTCCGTGTGCCCTTCCTGCCGCCGGGATGTCCTCTCATGCCGCCGCCGTGGGTTGGACATGACTGCTGCTGCTGGATCCAGCCGTGTGCCCCTCCTGCCGCCGGATGTCCCCTGATGCCGTCGCCGTGCCGTGCGCAGTGGCCGAGCTGGGTGAGCTGAGCCTGCGCTCGCCGCTGAGCGTCGCCCTCTGGCGGGCGGCCGCTGGAGCCGACTCGCCGCCGGCGCTGCGGGCCCGGCTGCGGCCGAGCCTCCTGGCGGCCTATCTGCACAGCACAGCTTCCGACCCCTGCCACCATCACTGGCTGACCGGCGAGGCTGAGAAGGAGGAGGAGCAACAGCAGCAGCAGCAGCAGCAGACTGGCGTACAACAGGTCAGCGCTTTAGCAGCAGACCGTTCCGTCAGTAACAGACGGGCGCTGGTGGCCGTTTAGGTGATGGTACTGACGGCAGAGAAGTGCTTTACGTTGACGTCGCTTGCTTCGTTGTTGGAACGCCAGCCGGAACAGGAATGTAATCTGTGGTGATGTTTGAAGAACTTAAGACATGTCGCGTGAAGTGATGCACCTTCGCGCCGTCGCGGTTTCTACCGCACAACCACTAGCTGACCAGTAACAGCTAATAGCTGACCTTTGCCGTGGTTCGATCTGCATTGCCGCGGTGCCAGCTGGTGAGCTCGTGAAGTGCGTTTCGCCTGTCTGTCGATGTGCGGGCGTGGCGTTGTCGGCGGGCTGACCTCCGGCGGCGCGGCCGTGCGCCAGGTGAACCGGCGCCTGTACTCGGCCGAGCTGACGCACGTGGTGACGGCCGACCTCTGGGACCCGGAGGCCGAATCGCTGCTGGACTCGGTGGCCATCGGCCGCGTGGCGCAGCGCTGCCAGCAGATGGCGACGCTGCGCCGGCTGCTCTGGACCAACGGCGCGGACCTGGCCGACGCCCGCTTCTGTCCAAGGTGGGGGTGGCACCCATGGCCAGAGCCGGCCCTGCTGCCAGCGGGATGGGAGCTGTGCTGGGGAAGGGACGGAATTGGTCGGTGTCATTTTCGTTTGGTCCCGAATATTGTAGAAAGTGACTGCGTAGCATTATTGAATAGAGCGCGCAGGTGTCTCGTCGGCCGTCACGCCACTGCAGGTGAGCGCGTCCGAGGCGCACACCATGGCCAGCACCGCAGCAGCACCACGTGTCCAGCACCGCAGCAGCACCACGTGTGTGCAGCATTTAAGCATTATCCGTCATGCGTCAGCCGATGCGGCTGGCCGCGTGGACACGTGGCCGCGGCCCGCCCGTCGAGCCGTGCGGTGGTGTTGACGCGGTGACGAGTGTGACTAGCATCCGACGCGTGCTGACACGGCCGCGGCCCGCCCGCCGAGCCGTCCGGTGGTGTTGACGCGGTGACGGGTATGACTAGCATCCGACGCGTGCTGACAAGGCCACGGCCCTCCCGCCGAGCCATGGGGTGGCGTTGACTCGGTGACGGGTGTGACTAGCATCCGACGTGTGCTGATGTGGCCGCGTCCCGGCCTCTGTTTGCAGACGCTGCCACCGGGCCCTGGGGCCTGAGCTGTTGGCAACAGTTCTCGGAGGCGCTGCTCGCCGTCGGCCGGCCCCATGGCGACGTCACCTCCACGCTCAGTGACGTCATTCCCGTACTGGTGACGGCACAGTGTCTGAGCGGCGAGCAGGCGGCCTGGCTGGCGGAGAGCGCCGCCGTCGTGCGTGACGTCACCGATGATCCAGTGGACATTGGGCGAATGTTCGTTTACATGGAGGAGCACAGATGTCGGTACTGGGCCAGCTGATGGCTGTCGACCCCGTCGAGGAGCGGAAGCTTCTCCTGGAGTACAGCAAGGACGAGGCAAGTTTGATCCCTCCGTACCCAGTCCTTGTTTCCTGATTGGTCATTGGGCATCTGTTGGAATGGTGTCCCAAGGCATTGTTTGTGCCAGCCGTTGGTCGCCGGTGTCGCCTCTTGCTCCGCATGTAACGTGGTGGTGACGGCGTTGTGGCACTCTCCAGATGGAGGACGTAGAGGCGGACCTGGCGGCGGCCGACCTGGCCATGCAGCTGGTGTCGGGCGTGCGGCTGGCGGCGCTGGCCGACCAGCACGTGCCACCGGCCCTGGCTCAGCAGCGGCAGCGGCTGCTGGCGCTGGACGCCGAGCGGGCCGAGCTGGACGTGGGCGAGGCGTGCCGTCCCACGCCGCCGCTCTACCAGCAGCTCAAACAGGCAAGTGGTGACCCCCCTACTTCCCCGCCGCTCGACAGACTGCTGACGAGGCGCTAGGCTTCCAGCTGGGCTGACGGCGAAGGTCTTCGCATGTGCGTTTGTTTGCTCGTACGTCACTGGGATGACGCAGAACTTAGATGCCGCGTTTCTGGGGTATCATGTGCAGGAATTTTCTCGAAGTTTCCCCCGCGTGATGGAGCTGCAATTCTTGTCTCTATTTCCGGTGCGGATGGCACGCAGCAGCAGCACGTGTTACCTGTGAGCCCGTTCGGCTTCATCGCTGCCCTGGTGCCCCCGCACCAGTCCCGTGGCGGAGGGCTGGCCGTGACGTGGCCGCGCCGTCCGCCGACAGGACGTGCGGAACTTCGCCTCGTCGGCCGGCAGCCTGGCGGCGCTGGCGACGCTGCTTGCGTCCGCCGGTGCTGCCCTCTGCGCCGACGGCCGGGACCAGGCGGCGCTGGCGTCGGTGCTGAGCCAGCTGCGCGCGCGCCTGCGCAGCTTTTCCGGGTTTGTGGCCGGACTGGAGGGACGCTACGGCTGGTACCGGGACCTGACGGCCCCGCTGCTGGCCGCCTACAGACAGGTGAGTGTCGGCGGCACTTCGCTTCCGAAAGCGCCGTGCTTGCTACGTTTGGGCGGTGGTATAGTGCCCTGCAAGGGAAGGCTGTTGCGTGCTCTCAGAATCCACATGCCACGTGATGGGATTCCAGTTCAATGAGGAGCTGTACAACCGGCCAGCCCTGGTCTGTATTTTCTGCTTAGTAACTGCTATGCAGCCGTTCGTAATGAAATGACCTCGTGGGATTGTTAAAGTTTATGGACCCCTCTGTTTGTGCGAATTTCGGTTCGACCAACAGAATTTGGGAGCCAACTCCCGAATTGTGTAATGTGACGCCCATTTCGAGGCATTTCAGCGCGGAGTTGAAACTATTCCGCCATCCCCACGCGTTTCTCCACATTTAAAGTCGTTTCGAGAGCGCAAACCCGTAAATGTGCTGCCTTTCCCTACCCTTAAAGTTAGCACAGGTATCGACGTATCACATGCATGTGAATAGCGATGACAACAGATGGCGGATTAACTTGCAAGTGGGCTGTGGTGTTGTACGGAAAACGTTCAAAAGCCTTCTGCAACGTGCGAAATTCGTCAAAAGCAGAAAAAAGCCACACTTCGAGTCTCTAACAGCACTGAATAATTATCTGAAATTCGGAGCAAATTGAACTTCTTTTTTATTCGATTATCTGTCGGCAAAATGTGTCTTTCACGTACCGAATTTGTAAGTTTTGCGTTCCGATCCTAAATCAAGTGGTTGTTTGTGGTATTTGCAGTTGTATTCGTGCTGCAAGCCTGCCAAGCCTCGTAGCTAGGCGCCCGTACGTCCGTCAGAATGGATCCCATTTCAAAGCATTTGGTTCGAGTTTTCTCGGGATGTTGCTGATTTCATGCGACTATTGATGACGTGGCCGTGACGTTTTTAGCGGGACCCGCGAGGCGAGAATCGCCGCCAACACTTTTTGCATATTGGACGGACATTGTGTTGTCTTCACCTCCCGGCTCCTGTCCCGTCTTCAGTGCTCGTGCACTAATTTGCATTTGCAAATTGCACCCATTGCAGGAATGAGGAGTAAAGAGCACGTGCAAAGATGTTCGTACCACCCGACGATAGCTTGATAGTGTATCATATCGTGCAGTGCATACGTCGACAAGGTAGGGTGAGAACGGTGGTCTGACGGAGCTGATCTCAGCAGCTGTTGGTGGAGGCATTGCGGCGTTTTTGGCGCGGGCTGTGCACGTGTAAATGTACGTAAGTCAACCTTTTGCCCAACCGACAAGCATTTCACGCTGTGACACTGATACTTTTTGTAACACTTTCCACTCTGTAACGCTGGCCAGACTTCCCCAGGATTTACCTATCAACGCTGAGGGCATGACCTAAGCTCACTAGGCTATTCAAGAAAAGCACAGAAGCAATGGTGATGGAAGCAGTGGCTGGAAAATGGAAATGAATTGGAAGACAGGGTGATATTTATCTCACCACAATCCTTGCTACAGTTTTACGTAGGAGTTCTGTAGTCGGCACCGTTTTTCAAAATGTGCACATTGCCGATCGCGGCGTATTCGACGATTTCTGACGCAGCCGTGCGTCGCGCAAAGCTGCGCGGGCGACGCGAGTTGTAGACGGCACATTAGTCGATGTCATGCAGTCGATTGTGTCTGAGCCCCAATCAGGGCCCGGTCACGCGTGGTGATCGGCGCGCGTGACCGGGCTGTTCTCGCAGCTAGTTCTCCACGTGGGGCTGTGACGGGTGGGTGACAAGTCCCGCGGAGTCACGCGGGCCGCCGGCGGCAGGTGTCGTCCCTGTCACGTGTCTCGGGCGGCGGGTCGACACGTGAATTGGCGGCGGGGCGGGGCCGCCACCCTGGAATACCACAGATCGATTAAGAGGAGCGCGTTTCGGAAGGTCTGTTACAGCGCGAGCTTTTGACAGTGGCGCGGGCACGTCGTGGCTAGAGATATTCGGTACCCGCATTGCGGCACACGGCCCCGCTACATCGAAACGGCGTGCTGTGGGATTAGACTCTCTCGAACGTTGGTTGCCCGTAATGTCGTTCATGGCAGTGGAAGCGCGTAGGCTCTGCGGCGAGGTTTTCTCGCAATCCACGGCCGTTCTCGCGCCACGGTCTTTTTCAACTGATCTACGGGAAGACTGCTGCGATTGTGCTGAGCTGACAGTCCTGTTCTTCTGTACCGGTATTCGCGATGTACTGAAATCTCGCATTTAAGTGTGGTTTATTCTTTGGTACGGATTTGTGTGGTGAGAATATTTGGAATGTTTGCACGTGGTCTATCTGAAAATTGTGTGGGCCCTGGTTGCCACTTTGCGTGTTTGCGTTATGCCCCTATATATCGAGCAGCGAGGACGCCGCAGACAGCCTTTTCCGGCGTAAGTCAGGGCAGAGACGGCAACAGCGTTGAGCAGATTGGTGGGACAGTATATTCAAAAAGGTGTCGTTATTCTAAAGATGCGCATTTTGATTTATGGCATAACATGGCATCATGATGATTTATGGTGATGCTGCTCCATGCTGACCCAAGGCTGTAAAACCACACCGGACGCTCAGGCGACGGCTAATGTGGCGCGCCGGGCCGCCGTACTTCGGCAAGTACAGACTAATATATATATATTGCATGACGGGCGTACGCAGCCAGCGGAACCTCTACAGGGCCTGGGGTCTTATTCTTAATGTAATGATCTCATACGATGGCACGGCCGGCGGCATTATTGTTAATAAGCGCGGCATGTCCTGTTATCGCCAGTGACTGCAAATTGGATACGGCGTTAATGGCATCGAGCCCGAGGACTCCACAGCTGATCTGAGCGTTTGCAAAAGTTGGATGACAGCAAAACAGTGTTGTGGCAAGTAACAACATTCTCTGGAAGAGGCTTTCTGTACAACAGATTCCTCCGAAGCACAGCACGAAAGATGAAAAAAGAACTGGGGGTGCAAGTCACGGCGGCCACAAAGCAGAGCATTTAGATAGCGTCTGCCGCTGCGGAATACATTAAGCTTCGCTGGTTCCAGATGGATTCTTCTGTCACGTTTTGTCGTCATTCTTAAATGCAGCTGCAGCTCCCCTTTTTGGGCAATATGAGTTCAGAGTCCCTCACATAAAGGGGGGGGGGGGGCGGTGAAGCGGAACAGCATTGAGACAACCAATGTTGGGTGGATACCTCGGCATAAATCTTTGAACTCGAATTTAGAACTGAGCAGTTGGAGCCCAGTGTGAGCGTGGCGCTGCCGAAAAGCGCGAACGGGGACCACGCTTTGGAAGTGTGGTAGCACCTGACATTTCTGGATTGCAGTGAGACTTCGGTATGGATTCCCGTCTATATTGCACTTCGGGGTGGTTGGGCTTACCCACCGAAATTTGAGTGGTATCAGGGAAAGCGTACAAATTGGTGTGCTCTTGTAAGTACCATGGTGGAAATGCATGACGATACGGGCCATATGCTCGAGACAGGCTGCTGAAATAAATGCGTGCGTTTGATTGCAAAAACAGACAATGTGATGCAATACTAACTTCGCCTAATTCATACACCGCAAGCCATTTATTCCGCGACTAAAACTGGTATATGATGGTCAATGTGTGACGTGATGAAAAGGCGTTCTGCATTGTCCTAGCGGTTTTGTGCTGGTATGCTCAGACAGAATCTGACCATGAAGAGGTATCAAGCCTGAAAAAATAACATGAGGCGTGAGTATATTTAGGTTTCATTAGCGCGGTGGTGGTGTCCAGGCTGGCCAACGGTGTTTCTGGTGCTGCTCAGACACCACAGCTTGGCCGCCGGGCCGTGAGCCGGTTCACTCGCGGGCGGGTCAGCACGCGGTCGGTGGTGGACGGCCCGCTCTCTGGCGGGCCGCCGGCCCCTCAGAACGCTCCCTGACCGGCTGACCGGCCCCGCCAGGTGGAGTTCGGCCTGCGTGTGCTAGCTGCACAGCGCCGAGCGGCGCCAGCGGCAGCTG